AAAAAAAAAAAAAAAAAAAAGGGCGACGCTGAGAGACACCTGGACAGGAATAGCGGAGCCATCCTGTATAACAAGGGACCTATGAACTGGGAAGCGAGCTGACAGAGAGGGCCTCCACCCCTGGGCCAGCTCAAAGGCCTTAGTGCCCACCTGCTCTAGCGTGCGTGTGCTCCCGCGCGGTGTTGTCCTGGGCCCCGCAGCGCGACGCCACCACCGGACCCCGCACCGAAGTGCGCCCAGAGCGCCCAGGGCGCAGCGCAGCCTTCAGCGGAGCTGTGTGCTGGAACTGCAGTGCTGACAGGCAGCCTGCAAAACCCAGAGCGCCAGCTTGAGCTGTGTCCAGGTCCACGTGGCCGCTGGGCTCTGCTGGTGACAGAGAAGCCAGTTAAGAGGGCAAGGTCGGTGGGGGTGGGTCTTTGGAACTCAGAACACCCAGGAGGGTTGGGGAGCTTGGGCAGTGCTAGCCCAGAGTTCTGGGTGCCAGGGCAAGTTAGTCTTCGTCTTCCTCCTCTCTACCCGAAGGTCAGTTTAAGCTGTCAGTAAGAAAAGTGAACTGAACTGTGGATTTATAATCTCTCTTTAAAAATAACAAAATGTCCCTAAAAAGTCTAATAGGGAGTGCCTAGGCTTTGTAGGATAAGCACCAGGACTGCGAACCACAAGTTTGACAATTTGAGCTCACATCAGGAGAAAGATGTGGCTTTCTGCTCTAGCAAAGACTTAAAGCCTGGGAAATCCTATATAGGGTTGCTATAATGTCAGAACCTACTCATCAGCACGTAACAACAACAGCAACAAAAGGTAAAATAAAACAATAATACTCCTAGAAAAACTGGGAATAATGGATTAATATTTTTTTAAATTGCAATGATTGTTTCATAAAAACAAGCAACTGACCACCACAAACCATGTATGTCCTAATAGTACTAATATTGAAGTTGTTTTTAAGTCTTAACTTCTTTCAAATTTCACAGTGGGTTGTGAAAATAGACAACATGGAAACATTAAATAGTTTCTCAGTCTGTCTCCACTTAGAGTAGATCAAAGACCCCTGAGGATCTTGGACTAGCATTAATATTTTATATTCCCAGCTGGTAATCATTATCCATTTGGAGTCAGCTCTATGTAGTGTTGTCGTGAGAGTGAGAGAGAATGGACACCCCCACTGACAGCTAACAGATGGAAGGGTGCACAATCGTTTGTGCATGACACCTTCTGAAAAGTTCCGTTAACAGCCACTGCGCTCTCTCCTCCCTCTTCCTTATTTATTTCTAATTGATTAAGGCAATGCTTTTAGTATTTCCTGCTGAGGGTGTCTTTGGCCTGGCCCATCAATACTGGGTCAAAGACCGGTGCTAGGGATTATCAGTAGCTTGAGTTCATCCTGTACCCTGCAGATGAGAAGTTTGAAGCCTGGCTAATGCTTCTGTCTTTGTACTGTTCCTTTCTGATTGGCGTTTGCTCAGTGATGGTGCTAGACTGTCGAGATAGATCCCTCCATGCCATCCAGAACTCAGGAGCCCTTCAGCTCAGAGAATGTTCCATTTTGTATGTGCTCATATCTGGTCCCATCTCTCTTCCTGGCCAACCCCCACTGCTACCTTCCCTCCTGATCCTTGCCACAAGTGTTCTCGGGGTTTGATCTGTTTGGTCTCTGCTTTGAATGTCCTCTGGGATGCCCCTTCTAAACTCTTTGGTTTGAGCTCTAACAAGTTGTTTTCTTTTGAAACCACAGGTATCCTTCATCAAGTTTTACTTAAGGGTCTACCTTTCTCCCCCAACAGCTATGAGTATCAGGAGCTATCTGGTGTGGTAAATACAACCCTGTAACACATCTTTCTTAATTTTAAAACATTCAGTATTCCCATGTTCTGTTCAAACAACTGCTTCTTGGTCCATGTACAGACTCCTCATGAGCACAATTAAGTGTCCAGGAATACTCATATTTAGCAATGTTGTCCATAGGTTGTCATGATCCACACAATCAAAAACCTTTGTGTAGTCAATAAAGCACAGGTAAACATGTTTCTGATATTCTCTGCTTTAAACCAAGATCCACCGGACATCCGCAATGATATCCCTGTATCCATGGCCTCTTCTAAATCCAGCTTGAACCTCTGGAAGTTCTCTGTTAATGTATGCTTGTAGCTGTTTCTGTATTACTTTTAGTAAAACGTTACTCACATGGGATATCAAAAATATTGTCCAATGATTTCCACATTCCTTTGGGTCACCTCTCTTTGGAATGGGCACAAATATGTATCTCTTCCAATCAGTCGGCCAGATAGTTGTCTTCCAAATTTCTTGGCAGAGATGAGTGAGTGCCTCCTATATAGCCTGGCTTTCTGGAGATATTTCAATATTTATTCCATCAATTCCTGGTGCCTTGCTCTTTGCCAATTCCTTCAGTGCACCTTGGACTTCCTCCTTCAGTATCGCTGGCTCTTGATCATATGCTACCTCTTGAAACAGTTGAACATCAACCATTTTCTTTTGGTACAGTGACTCTGCGTATTCCTTCCATCTTCTTTTGATGCTTTCTGCATCATTCAATAATTTGCCCAGAGAATCCTTTAATAATGAAAGTTAAAACTTGAATTTTTTCTTCATTTCCCCCAGCTTGAACAATGTTGGGCGTGTTTTTCCTTTTCGATATTTTGACTCCAGGTCTTTGCACATTTTGTTGTAATATTTGGCTATATCTTCTTGAGCTGATCTTCAAAATTTTCTGTTCAGCTCTTGTACCTCCTCATTTCTTCCATTTGCTTTAGCATCTCTATGCTGGAGAGCAAATTTAAGTGTCTCTTCTGGCATCCATTTTGACTTTTTCTTTCTCTTGTCTTTTTAATGACTTTGCTTTCTTTATGTATGATGTTCTTGATGTCATCCCAAAACTCTTCTGTGTTTAATGTATCAAATCTGTTCTTCAGATGATCCCTAAATTCAGGTGGGATATATTCAAGGTCATATTTTGGCTCTCATGAACTTGTTTTCATTTTCTTCAGCTTCAGTTTGAAATTGCATATGAGCAATTGATGGTCTGTTCCACAATCTCTGGCCTTGTTTTGACTGATGATATGGAGCTTTTCCATCGTAGCTTTCCGCAGATGTATTCAACCTGTAGGCTGAACAAATAATCCAAGAAGATGTGTTATATGAAGAAAAATGTGGCATCAGGATTGGAGGAAGACTCATTAACAACCTGCAATATGCAGATGATACAAGCTTGTTTGCTTGAAGTGAAGATTTAAAATATTTACTAATTAAGATCAAAGAGCACTTCAGTATGCTCTTTGGTATGGACTGCATCTCAACGTAAAGAAAACAAAAATCCTCATCACTGGACCATTCATGGATGCAGCAATCAAGAAATCAAGCGACGTATTACATTAGGTAAATCTGCTGCACAAAACCTTTTAAAAGTATTGAAGAGCAAAGATGTCAGCTTGAAGACTAAGGTGTGCCTGACTCAAGCCATAGTATTTTCAATAACCTCATATGCGTGTGAAAGCTGGACAGTGAAAAAGGAAGACCATAGAAGAATTGATGTTTTTGAGGTAAGGTGTTGGAGGAGAATATTGAAAGTGCCATGGGCTGCTGAAAGAACCAACAGATCTGTGTTGGACAAAGTAAAGGCAGAGTGCTCCTGGGAGGCCAGGATGGCCAAACTTTGTCTCTCATACTTTGGACATATTGTCAGGAGGGACCAGTCACTGGAGAAGTACATCATATTTGGTAGGGTGGAGAGCCAGAGAAAAAGATGAAGAGCCCCAGAGAGATGGATTGGCCAAGTGGCAGCATCAATAGACTTAAGCGTGGCAACAATTGTGAGGTTGACCCAGGATTGGGCAGTGTTTCGTTCTGCTGTGCATAAGGTCGCTGTGGGTCAGTACCAACCCGATGGCACCTAGCAACAACAACAACCTGGTGTGGCACTGTGGGTTAATGCACTGAACTGCAAAGTCGGTTTGAACCACAAGGTTGGTGGTTTAAGCTCACCAGCTGCTCCTTGGAAACTCTATACAGGGTTGCTATGGGTTGGAACCAACTCAACAACACTTAGCAACAGAAAACCTGAATTTTCTCTTTCTTTCTGCTGTCCAGAGACCCTTGGGTATGAGGTTGTTTCCTTTGGGATGTCATAATGAATCACAATGTCCAATCTGCTCTGGGAAACAGCAGTTCCTTCCTGAGTGGGCTTCAGAGTCTTCAGTACGGAGGCATTTCACATACCATTTTCTGAGGACTGCAGAGTGGATTAAAGTGTTGTTAGGCTTATGGCAGGACAAATCTGCTATAAAACTATCAACATGCAGAAAGTCACTAGCCCTTGGTCATGATCCATGTCACTCAGGCATTCAGTGAATTAATTTTTATTTAAAATTACAAGGAGTATAATTGCCTCTGGCTATAATATTGACTGTTGAGCTTGAACCTCAACCCTATTATCAGAGTCTGCACAAGATACTAATGCATATCCAATTATTGAACAAAAATACAAATATATTCAATTCCATTCTAATGGTCTTCACTTTGAAAGAAAATGTGTATAACTATTAATGTATACAATTAATTATATCTTACATATTTATCCATTCACTAAGTTTTATATGATGCAGTCTTTTGTCTTAGTTTGTTATGCAATATATTGCACATTGCTTCGCTGTGTCTTCATCAGCAACTTTGAACATTAAATGCATCTGAAAAAATATCTTCTCATCAAGTTTTAAATGCTTCCTGTGTTAAAATGTATGTATGCATGTCAATCTTCCCCCATAGACTGTGGAGTTTTGTGGGTGATTTGTGGAAGATGTGTACATTCATGGTCTAATTACTTGCACACTCCATGGTGATGCGTGCTGTTGGTGAAAAGTGTCCACCCCTGGCGAGACAGTCTCCCTCCTGCCAGCCTGTATGAACCTTCTCACCGACACAGTCCTTCTGTGGGTGGAGGAATTGGGTGTCACTTTGTTCAGGTTAAGAATAACTGCCAGTCAGCACATAGTAGGGCTCTTGGAAGACAGATTGGAATGGAGTCTGTGCACTCAGATTCAGTCCATGACAGAGGCTGTGCCCACTCTGCCCCCACGGTGCCATTGCTGAAGGTCTATGGACTCCTGATGGCCATGGCTGGGAGACCTGGTGAGGAGAGAGGCTCAGGCAATCAGTAGCTGCTTGTGGGCTTTGGTCATTTGGGATTTCTAGTTATTTACAGCCTCCCATGCTGTGCCATAGTTTAAAAAATGAAGTAAAATATAGATTAATATTAGGGAAAAGATGAACATCCATAACATTCCAAAATTGTAAGGTTGAATCTTGCCTTTTCCTCTCAGTGGGCTGCGCTGCCCAAGAGCTAAATAAGGACATCCTCAGCCACATATAAGCTGAAGATGCCCAGACACGCCTCCACTCGGCCTTGCCCAGATGCCACTTGATGTCTGCAATTGATGTTGGCAGGCTCCCCCTGTGGCTGTCTTTCCTTCAGATGAGGACAGCCTCATGCTTTACTATGTCAGAGCAAACACGTGGAGTTATCTCTAATCCGTTGAACCCATTAGGAAACCCTGCTGTCTCCACCTTTAAGAGGAACCCAGGACCCATGCCTCCTACTCCCTGTTCTGCCAAATACTGGTCCAGTTCAGAGTTGTCCCTCATGTGGGTTTTGGTGAAAGCTCTGGACTGGACTCTCCTTGTCCATTCTCACCTACCTCTCATGCATCAGCCATGGAGCATTCTGCATGGAGCAAAAGTGAGTTCCCATAGTGTTTTCTCCAGGCCCTGGATGGTGCAGTGGTTAATGTGCCTGACTATAAACTGAAAAGGTTGCAGGTTCGAGTCCACTCAGAGGTATCCCAGTAGACAGGCCTGGTGAGCTGCTTATGGGAAACCAAGCAGTGAGAACCCTGGGGAGTGACTCGGACATACATGGGCCGCTGAGAGCTGGAAGTCACTAGATAGCAACATTAAAGAAAGATGATACTGGTGTCTAAGTTTGTGAGGCCCTCTGTGATGAGTCCTTTCCCCAAGCTTCCTTCCCTTCCTGTTCCACCCTTAGCCTTACTGGGCTCTCTCCTCTTCCTGGAGTCCACCTTCCATACATTCAGCTTGAAGGCAAGGGGACATCTTCCTTCCTTGAGTATCTGTCCACGTCTAACTTTCTTGTCTACTAAGGGAGCTGAGCATGGTAACTGGCAGATATAAATAAGATGGAAGCATTCAGGTTATGTTTTTACAAGAAAAGCTGCTCGATGCAGAACCAACCCCAGCGATGAACAACTGCAAAGCCAAGTAGGGTCTGCCCTATCAAAAGCATGGAAGACAACTACCACATGTGTTTAAATCGCCCTTTCAAACATCTTCCTGGATCAGCAGCTATTTAATCCACTAGCTATTAACCTCACATCAGCTTTGATCATGAGTCTTTCTTTGGACCGTAAGAAAATTACCACGGTCATTGTGCTTGATTGCCAAATGAGAGTGAGGAGCTTGGAATTATTCTTAGCAGAGTGCAGAGGCTCATCTGCAGGAAGTTATAGTCTCATGATTACATGTACACTCAGACAAAAGTGTACTTTCTGCCTTGATTGGCAATAATGGTGTGATTAAAATAAAACAAAGAACTTGTTTAATATATGAGTGGCCCACACTGAGTCCATGCCTGGGAGGGGAGTCCATGTTTACTTGCCTAAAATCCTACCCAACACCAGGGACTTGACAGCATGGAACTCCAGGCCCGAGGACAGGCTCACTTGTCTCCTTGCTTTCTGGTTCACCTGCCCCGGGAGAAGCAAACATCAACAGAATATCATTTGTCATAACATGCAGGAATCAAAGGAATCTCATACAGTAAAGTGATAAACACAAAACAGAAACAGGTTAGTGCTACACATGATAAAACAGTCTCGTGTTAAGGAATTCATGACTATAAATACTAGTTCATGAACTATTTCTATGCCATCTAAGATACCCTTCACTCCATACCTTAATCTTTTACTTTTCTGTATTTGCCTGCAGAGTTCTTATTACTTCCTGACATGATATAAATTATCTGTGATTGGTAGAACCCAGAAAGAGATGTAAGGGCTTTTGCAAGCCCAAAGCTTATACATATAAGGGGGTTGCAAAAAGTCCATGGAAAAATTCCATTATCTTTTAATTCCACTTTTCCAAAATTTAAAAATACTTATCTCAAAATAACATCTTGAAAGTGAAACCAAGGAATACTATCCTACATAGAGAGCTACAATGCCCATCGGTGTCTTCAGACACACTGCTGGTGCGTAACTCCACCTAGTCTGGATTGACTCACATTGGTTCTTTAGTCATGCAAGTTTTAACCATAATTATATTTTTCATAAACCATGTCTTTATATTGCTGTAACGTTTGTGCACTTGTAAATGGCACAAAACAGAATCCCACTGGATCATTATTTGAAAGATTCTGCCAGTAATACATGATAAAGTAGACATTTCCAGAGCTCACAAATCAAGACAAATGAGGAAAAATTTAAGTAGTCAAATATTTATAATATGAGGGTGAGTCAAAAATTATCTGTACTCTGGCTGTAGAATTTAATCAACTTTTAGAAAAGACAAACACCTCATTTGTTGACATAATCTCCTTGATTTTCAATAAACGTTGTCCATCTGTCAACAAGCTTTTGTATTCCCTCATTAAAACATGTTTTAGGCTGAGCTGCAAGCCAAGAATGCACCACTGTCTTCACTTTTTTAGCAGAGGTGAATCTTTATACTCAAAGGGCTGTTTTCAGAGGACCAAAGAGGTGAAAGTCCGATGGAGCAAGATCAGGAATATAGAGAGTATGCTTTAACATCTCAAAGTGATGTTTTTGCAGAGTGCCAACAGTGTGGGCAGAGGTGTGCTGATGTGCAATGTCATACAAGATCACAATGCCCTTGGATAGCAGTCCTCTGCATTTAATTCAAAGTTTAGGTTTTAGCTCTTCAGTGAGCATCTCACTGTAACAAGCACAAACTTTTTCCTGATAATGTTCCAATGCTGGCCCTTGAGAATCCCAGAAAATTGTAAGCATCAATTTTTCCAGCTGATAGTTGAGTTTTTCTTGGTCAGCAATTGAAGATGTTTCCATTCCATACTCTACTGTTTACTCTCAGGCTTGTAGTGATGAATCCATGTCTCAATTTTTTTTTAAAGAAAATTTTACCTTCCTTCAAGTATCAGTCCATATTTTCTTTGCAGATGTCCAAATGCTTCTCTTTATGCTCTTCTGGGATTTGTTTGGGTACCCATCTCACACAAACTTTTAAAAACCAACTCTGTTGTACATTATTTTAGAGGCAGAGCCATGGCTGATTTGCAAATGATTTGCCACATCATCCACTGTCACTCACTTGTTTGACAGAATCATTTCACGTGCACACTCAATGTTGTCATCAGCTGTGGATGTAGATGGGTGTTTTAATATAACTGGAGTGTGGATACTTTTTAACTCACCCTTGTATATTTGGCAGATTCCATTACTAAATAAACAAAAATAAAATACAGGACTCTAATTGACTTTTTATCTGTGGCACAAGAAAAGAAAAGACCACATTCGGAAGGAGCCTGTACTGCTGTACCTAACTATTCATCTCATGCTTTGGGTCTTCCCTCCTGGGAAACTACTTCTAGTCACTGTTTAGCTGGGCATGCTCTTACCTCTACAAAGACAACTCCTTCTTCTCTGTTGATCTTCACATGGTGAAGATTCCCATCAGCCATGTTTTTGAAATTAAAGTTAAAAACATCAGGATCTTGATGTATATCTAGCTTGTACCGAATCTGCAAACTCCCTAGAGAGGGGTGAGGGGTGGGGGTGGGGGTGGGGAGGAATTGACAGTTTTTAATAAAATGTTTTAAAAAAACAGTTTTGTAAACTGTCTTCATATACTACAGTAAAGTTTTTACTGACTTTTAATTGTTTCTAGGGACATTTTTCTGGGAGTGTGGTGGCTCTGTAGCATACACATGGACTATGAAACACAAGGTTGGTGGTTCAAGCCCACAAGCCACTCTTCAGGAAAAAGATGAGGCTTTCTGCTCCTACAAAGATTTACAAGCTTGGAAATCATACACAGGGTTGTTCTCGGTCAGAAGCGACTTACGGCACTTAACAAAAACAGGGACATTTTGTAGTTTGGGTGCATTCAGCAGAGTTCATTTGGATGTACTATTTGGATGATTCACCTTGATTGTCACCTTCCCTGGAATAAGTGTGCTTCTTTAGAACTGCTCTGGGTGTGGTGCTGTAGGATAAGCACAGGACTGCTAACCACAGGTTGGAGGTTCAAACCCACCGCTGCTCCTTGGAAACACTTTATAGAGTCACGATGAGTTGAAACTGACTGGACAACATCAACAGCTGCTCCCAGACCAACCTCCCAGGTGAATCAAGTCATCATAAGACCATAAAGAAACATGGTCTTCCTACATGTTTCTAAAAGAAAACTCCTAGATTGGGCTTGGGTTCAACTCTAAATTCTACTCCACCTTTGGAAAAAAGAGCATTACATTAAGAAATGCTGAAGCTATGTGCAGTATTGAAACTGTTTCTGTTTCAGTGGTCTGTCTTCTGTGAACACATTTCCAAATGCTGAAAGGTGAATCGGTATGGCGTGTGCAGTGGAAGTGAAGTTGCCAGCTGGCAGCACCTTTACTTTTCATCTCTAGGTAGAGGTGGAATAGTCTACTTCAGGTCCCAGAAGCTATTCATCTGGCCCATAGACACTCATAGCTCTAGAGCTGTGCTGTGTTAACACCTGCCCTTGTGGTGCCATAGCTTAGGCAGGCATTGTGCGGCTAACCTCAAGACTGGTGCTTCAAACTCACCAGCTGCTCTGAGGGAGAAAGATGAAGCTGTCTGCTCCCATCCTGGAAAACTCAGACTTGGGATGGAAAGAGGTTTGATTTGGTTTTGGGTTTCTTAGAAAGAGGAAAAGATGTTTTACATTTAATTATGGAGTCCCGGTATGGCGCTGTGGGTTAATGCTTCAGACTGCAAAGTCATTTGAACTGCAAGGTCAGTGATTTAAGCTCACCAGTTGCTCCTCAGAAACCCTATTCAGGGTTGCTATGGATTGGAACGAGTTGATGGCACTTAACAACAAATGAAGTCCTGGTGTGGTGCTGCAGGGTAAGCACTGTACTGCTTCAAACCACCAGCTCCTCCATGGAAACCATATACAGGGTTGCTAGGAGTCGGAGCTGATTCAGTGGCACTTAACAATAACAACAAGGCATTTTATAGTTTTAATAAAGACCTTACAGAGATAATAGCAGTTGTGTTTACATGAAATATGCAAATTAATCACAAAATTTACTGAAGAAAGAATATTAATATCATTATGGGTATGGCACCTCTTATGACAATATTTTTATAGTCTTGAAAAATAAAACCAATCTAATAAAATAACAATTGGAAAACATGCTACGTTTCCTTGTTTGTAGTTTGAGGGGAAATTTTCATATTATTGCAGTTCTAATGGAAGACCTGGTGTCACAGAGACTAAAGCACAGAGATGGTAACTGTAAGGTCAGTTGTTCCAACTCGCCAGCTACTCCAAGGGAGCAATTTTGGGCAGTTTCTTTATGTAACGAGGAAAGCCTATGGGACAGTTCTACTTTGTTCTCTAGGGTCGTTATGACTTGGAAAAACTTGATGACATTGGGTTTGTTTGTTGTTTTAATGAGATAGTTGACTTTTTTAGCACTACAATTTCTGCTTTCTCACTGACAGTGAATAAGACTTAATATACTTACTGATGAAGATCAAAGACCACAGCATTCAGTATGGTTTGCACCTCAATGTAAAGAAAACAAAAATCCCCACCAATGGGTCGATAGCTATAATCATGACACACGGAGAAAAGACTGAAGTTGTCAAAGACTTCATTTTGGTCAGATCCACTATCAACAGTTGTGGAAGCAGCAATCACGAAATCAAACGATGTGTTGCATTCGGCAGATCTGCTGCACATGATCTCTTTAAAGTGTTCAAGAGTAAAGATGTCAGTTTGAGAACTAAGGTACGCCTGATCTTATGTCATGGTATTTTCAACTGCTTCATATGTATTTGAAAATGGGACAATGAATAAGGAAGACTATAGAAGAACTGATGCCTTTTTTGAGTTATAGTAGTGGAGAACAATTTAAAAGCATAATATACTGTCAGAACAACAAACAAATCTTTGTTGGAAGAAGTACAGCCAGAATGCTCCTTAAAAGCTTGGATGGTGAGACTTTGTCTCTCATGCTTAGAGCATATTATTAGGAGGGACCAGTTCTTGGGGAAAGACATCACACTTGGTAAAGTGGAGGATCAGTGAAAAAGAGGAAGACCCCCCCCCCAACCAGATTGATTGGCACAGTGGCGACAGCATTGGCCTCGAGCAGAATAAAGATTGTAAAGATGGTGTGGGGCTAGGCAGTGTTTTGTTCTGTTCACTGAGCCGGAACCAAGTTGAGGGTCTCTAACAACAACAAGGAACTCTGGTAGCATAGTGGCTACGAGTTGGGCTGCTAACCTCAAGGTCAGCCGTTCGAAACCACCAGCTGTTCTGCTTGGGAAAGATGAGGCTTTCTGCTCCCATAAAGGTTTATAGCCTTGGAAACCGTGTGCAGGGTCTCTATGAGTTGGCATCGACTCCACAGCACATAACCACCACCAGCAGCAACATCAGCACTAGAATGATACGTACCATTTTTGGCAAGGATGACTGACAAGTATTCCTTGTAGAAGGAGTCCACATACAGCAGTAAGCTCGGAGTTTGTACTGTTCGGAAGCTGAACGTGATCATCTCTCTCACTAAGGTCATATCCCCATAGAACGAAGCAGCGTAGGGACTGGAGTTGGCACTCAGGGAGTAATACTCTTGGAAATTGTAAGTCACTGAGGAGCCAGGTCCAAAATCGGCAGAAATCTCTGAAATAGCATGCATATTTTTTAAGTTATAAAAATTAAAGTTCTCATTTTAAGCACACTTTAAAAATTATTTTTAACTTATTTTAATTTTCAGAAAAAATAGCAAGTGAAATAATTAATGTTGCTAGGTGTCATTCATTGGTTTCAACTCATAGCTACCCTACGCACAAACACAATGAAACACTGGCCTCTGTGCTCCATTGGGTTTCAGGCAGAAAGAAGCCAGGCACCATGGCCATGTCTTACTTTACTTTCTATCTCCTTCCTTAAATTTCCCTTAATATCATCCTTTGCAGGTGGCCAGCAGTAATCTCCCCAGAAGTATTGGGGAAAGAGCTATGGGGATCCTTGTCTTCAGACACCATCACAGATGTGTTCACCCTCTTAGCCCCTCCTGGTGGGATGACAACTTCATGTGGTTTTGAACTTTGAGCAAAGAACAGGTCTCATTCCAGCAGGATGAGCCATCTTCTCAACACAGTTCATGAACATTCTTCAGATGCGGGGATGCGTGTGTGTGTGTGTGTGTGTGTGTGTGTGTCTGAAGGCAGGATGGTGGGAGACATGGTCCCTTCTCCACTGGACAGGACATCTACACATATCCAGCCACAACCAAACCTACTCCTAAAGCACCCCTGTTCTCATCATCCACAACACAATATGGACTTCTAGTACAGTGTTTGTCTACAGAAAGACATTCTGCTTACATTTAGGAGACATACACAGGGAACCATGAAAACACTGACATTTTTACTCATACAGAAGAGTCAAAAGATATTTTTAATGAACTTTCATGCAGCATAATTAGATACTATTAACACATTCTTTTAAAGTTGAAAACTCGGTGAGTTTGACAGATGTATGTAGTTGTTGTTAGGGGCCATCAAGTTGGTACTGACTTATGAAAACTATGCACAACTGAAAGAAATACTGCCTGATCTTGGGCCAACCTCATAATTGTTGCCACGCTTGAGCCCATTGATGCTGCCACTTGGCCAATCCATCTTGTTGGGGGGGTCTTCCTCTTTTTCTCTGACCCTCCACCTTACCACACATGATATCCTTCTCCAGTGACTGGACCCTTCTGACAATATGTCTGAAGTATGAGAGACGAAGTTTGGCCATCCTGACCTCTGTTGGTTCTTTTGGCAGCCCATGGCACTTTCAATATTCTCCTCTAATGCCATAACTCAAAAGCATCAATTCTTCTATGGTCTTCCTTATTCAGATGTATACACCCATCTGAATAACTACCACATTCAACATTCAGAACATTGTCAGAATTTTCCATGATCTTTTGTGCTTATTTGCTGTCAATTCTTCCCTTCATCACCATTATTCTAACCTGGTTGATATTTTCCAGAATTTCATACAAATGGAATCACACCCTATTATTATTATTTTTTAATCATACTTCTTTCACTCTGCATAAAGGTTAGTGTTGCACTATACGGATGCACCACAATTTGTTTATCTAGTCCATAACGAATAGAATATAAATTGCTTCCTGTTGGGGGAACTTATTTCGTCTGTCTTGGGCATTTGTGTACAAGTCTTTGGGGAGACCTACATGTACATTTATGTGGGGTTATTACCTGAGAGTAGGAAAAGTGGATCCCTTATGACCTGTATCATATGGCAAGCATATAAGTACGTCTATAAGAGAAACTGCCGAAAAGATTTCCAAAGTGAAAACGACAGCATTTTACATTCACCTCAGTGGGGCATAAGAGACCAATACTTGATATTTTTGTACAGTCACTTTAATGTGAGTAATTCCACTTGGTGTGCAGTGGCATCTAATTATGAGTTTAATTTTCATTTTCCTCATGATTGATGATTCATGTGCTTCTTTGCCATTTAATTCTCTTCTCTGATGAAGTGTCTATTCACATTTTTGCCCATTTTATTCTTTGATTGTTAGTCTTCATCTTCTTATTGCTGGGGTATAAAATGTATTAGGTACTTTAGATTTAAGTTCTTGGAAGATATATGTTGCACAAGTGTTTTCTGGACAGTTATTTCTTAGCAGTGTCTTTTGAAGAGTAAAATACCTTCATTTCCATAAAATTCATTAATCAATTTTTAATGATTTATGTTTGGTGGGTCCTGTCTAAGAAATCTGCTTGCTTCAAGGTGAAAAATATTTTCTCCTAGAATTTTCATTAGCTTTTACATTTCAGCCTAATATCCATTCCAAGGTGATTTTGTACATGGTATGGGCTAAAGGAGCCTGGTGGTGCTATAAAATGATAAGCACTGACTGCTAACAGCAAGGTTGACAGTTTAAACTCACTAGCTGTTCCATGGGGGAAAGATGAGGCTTTCTATTCAGGTAAAGCCTCAGAAACATTATGCAGGGTCACTAGGAGTCAGAATTGACTTCATGGAAGTGGGTTTGAGTTTTTTTGGGAGGGTCAGAGAAAAAGAGGAAGACCCCCAGCAAGATGGACTGGCCAAGTGTCAGCATCAATGGGCTCAAGCGTGGCCACAGTAGTGACGTTGGGCCAGGATCGGGCAGCGTTTCTTTCTGCTGTGCATAAGGTCACTATGGGTCAGTACCGACTTGATGGCACCTTACAACAACAACAACAATTGGAAAGTTATGTTTGTTTTCCATTTGGATACCCAGTTGTTCAAGAACCATTTGCTTGAAGGAATTCCTTTCCTCTTGTCTAATAGTCTTAACAACTTGGTGAAAAATCAGTTGACTAGTTGTATGGGTTCATTAATGTGTTCTCGCTCTCTTTTTTTTTTTCATTACCAACTTACTTGTTTTTAAAAGTTGCTTTACAAATACAATGCCAAATGGATTCCCATACAAACTTTATAATTAGCTTGTAAATTTGATTCATTTCTCCCCTAATCAAATCTTATTTTTGGGAGAACTGACCCCGTAGATCAATTTGAGGAGGACTGACTATGTAGTAACAGCGCTGAGTTTTCCATTTCATCAATGTGTTCTGCTCCTCCATTTATTTAGATGTAATTTCTATCAGTAACTTTTAGTGTAAGGTCTTACATATATTTTGTGTTTTGTCCCAGAGGAAAGATTTTAGAGCACTTTTCTCTTCCAGTAAAACCAGATGTTTGCTTGGCACAGGTGGCAGTCCATCACCTGGCCTTGGAATGATGACAGAAGACTGATACATCATCAGAGATTTATCCTCAAGCATAGCACATATAATTGTCCTCTGATGACGTCTAGGCAGCTAATTGCTGTATGTGTTTTAAAATCAATAGCTGATTCAGTCAGGTATCCAACTTGTGCTCTAATGCGGGCAGAATACAACAGCCAAGGATTCTTGAAGAATGGTGAAATTGGTTTTGAGGCTTGTTTTCTGTATCTATGAAAGTTTAAAGCTCATAAGCACTTTCCCTGAATTATTTCCATCCTACAATCAGCTCTTTCTGTCTTTTCAAAGAATACTTGTGGTTTCTGAGAAATAAATGATCATTTTATCTTAGCAAGAGATCATTGACAAATTCCAGTACAAAGCATTACAATGATTCTTATAGTTTGGCTCAATGTGTAATGGAACATGTATTTAGTATACTATCAAAAATATTTTTGAAAACATTATTTTATTGATGTAAATACTATTTTAAGTAATAATACCTGTTGAATTTGTTTTCTTTAAATAATCCACATGTTATTTTACATTTTTTAATTCTAGTAACTTAAATAATTAGTTTAAGTAATGATACCTGAAATAGTATTGAGGAGTCCTCATGTGGCAGGATAAACACTGGACTGCTAATCACAAGGCTGGTGGTTCAAACCCACCAGTTGCTCCTCAGAAACCCTATACAGAGTCACTATGAGTTGAAACTGACTTGAGGGCACTTAGCAAAAACAACAAAGTAATACTGAAGGAGCCCTGGTGGCGCAGGAGGTTAAGCAGTCAGGCAAACCCTCCAGCTGTTATGCAGAAGAAAGATGAGGTTGTTTCCATAGAGTTAGGCTCAGAAACCCTCACTGTGAGTCAGAATCGACTCCATGGCAGGGTGTGTGAGTTTTAATGTGATACTGAAACAGGCCCGGTTACAGAGGACACGCAGAGAAGACACAGAACACATCATTAGCTGACACAGTGCATGTGGACATTGGAACAGGCAGCTAGCCCTTCAGGAAACCAGAGGGGTTGGTGTTAGACCTTTCAGAACAATCACTGCCTTTGCAGGAGTAGGATCCCACTTCTTCCTAATACCATAAGGCACACAGGAGTCCTAGTGGTGCAATTGATAAGTGCTCGGCCACGAACTGAGAGGTGGGCAGTTCAAGCCCATCCATTGGGTTTCTGGGAGAAACACCTGGCAATGGGTTCCCATCAAGATCACAGCCAAGAAAAGCCCATGGGCTGTAAGTCAGAATCCACTCAAAGGCACATCATGGCAACAACAACCTAAGACAGGCTGTAAAAGCATGATTTCCAAATGGAACTCGGGCTGAAACCATTCTATCAAGAGCTACACAGAGAAAGTTCTGTTCCATGTCCCATGTCACACTCACCATCAGAGCAGAAGGGCCCAGTGAAGGCTGAGACCTCGCAGTCACAGGAGAACCCACGGGGCCTCTCTCGGCAGCGCCCTCCATGGGCACATAGGTGTCCGTAGGTGCTGCAGTGCCCTGGGCAGCCAGGTTCCACACCTGGTGTGACCTTGGCCCGTTCCTCAAGGTCCAGTGTCTGCCCGTTGAGCTGTAGTGACCGGATGCAGCCCAGGAAGCCTCTCTGCCTGGTGGCTGTCCCACCTGTTTGGGCAGAGAGCACTCAGAGATTAATACACCTGTGACAACACCTGGGCTTCCCAATGGATGAACAAATACAACTTTGGCAACACAAATGCTGACACTGTTGGAGAATATTCAATAAAACCGACAAAGAATTCATTTTGAAGGTGAGTTTGATTAATATTTATTATAGCAGATTCTTCTCCATTAACTGAAAAGTTACTTTTAAGTTAACTGACTAGAATGAAGAATAAAACATCAATAGTACTGTAAAAACTGTGGTGTATTGTCATGTAACCACCGCCAATCTGTCAGTTTGCTGTGCTGTGGTGGTTTCCATGTTTTTGTGATGCTGGAAGCTATGCCACTGGTATTTTACATAACAGCAGGGTCACCCATGATGGACAGGTTTCAGTGGAGTTTCCAGACTGGGCAGAAAGACCACATGATCTGCTTCTGAAAAGCACCCTGAGAAAGCTCTGTAGCGCACACCAGAATAGTGTCCCATAGAGTGCTGGGAGATACTCCCTCAACGCTGAAGGGAAGTAACATCTAACCACATCACATTTGTTCTGTTAAGTGGGGTTGCCATAATCTAGAGCTGACTCAGAGGCACAACAACAATAACCACAACGATGTGATGCACGTTGAAATGGTTACTTAAATATGTAAGTATCTTTCAATATAAAATAAAACTAGACTACCACTTCTGGCAAAGTCTTTATTTACTCTTCCATCTTGAAAACCCACTTAAAAATCTGGAAGCAAACGAACAAAATTAACAGCTCAAAAGGCTCTGGGCATTTGGTGACAGATGGCAGTGAACTCCCAGATAGGAAACATCTTGATGAAAACCCTGCAACTGTCCTCAGGCCATGGCCTCAGGGGCAGCCAGGTACAGCTAGGAGCCTGGACAGTCCTGGCAGCTGTCACGGTGAGGACGCACTGAAGGGAGAGTGCTGAGGGCTATCCACCTTTTCACCAGCACACGCGTCATGTGTGAGGAAATGAACGAAGGCCTTGTAGAACTACTCACAAAGACTGCAGGCAGCTTCTGGGGCTCCCTAGGGACTAGGAAGGCTGCCTGCTCCCAACAGCCAGATTGACAATCATACAATTCTTGAGGCATCACCAGGTATAGAACTGAAAAGGATTTTACCTCAGGAGTGGGAAAAACAAATCTTAGACTAATTACTGCTCTGAAAAAAAAAGCATAAAAGAAAACTGATCCAAATCAAAGTGTTTCCAAGTAACTTAAACACCAGAGAAAGCTAAAAAAATATTTACAGAAATAAGAATTAAAACAACAACAATAATAAATAGTATAAACAAGGCAAAACTCACAAGGTCTGAGATCCAACAGAAAAACATTACCAGACATACAAAGAAGCAGGAACATGTAATTCCTGGATCATGGGGAGAAAAATCGACCAAAAAGTATCTAAAAACGGTATGGTGCTGCTGTTGTTGTGAGGTACCAGCGAGTTGGCTCCAGATCATAAAGACCCTTATACCAAACAGAACAAAACAACTCACAGAGACCCTAAGCACAAGGAACAAAACACCAGATCCTGTGTCTCCTTCACAATTGTTGCTGTTTGGGCCTATTGTTGTCGTCATTGATTGTGTTAATCCATCTCCTTGGGGGTCTTTCGCTATTTTCTAACAAGCCTCTAACAAGCCAAAGGAGCTCTGGTAGCGTAGTGAATCGGGCTGCAAACCACAAGGTCAGCAGTTCAAAACTAGCAGCTCTTCCACAGGAGAAAGATGACGCTTTCTGCTCCCGTAAAGATTTACAGCCTCGTAAACCCTGTATAGGATCGCTATGAGTTGGAACCGACTCCACGGCACATCACAACAACAACAACAACAACAACAACAACAACAAGCCTTAATTGTGCTCATGAGGAACCTGTATATTGACCAAAGGGCAGTTATTTGAATAGAACAAGGAGACAATGACTATTATAAAATTAGGAAAGGTGTGCATCAGGGTTGTATTCTTTCACCATACCTATTCAGTCTGTATGCTGAACAAACAATCCAAGACACTGGATTATATGAAGATGAACATGGCATCAGGATTGGAGGAAAACTCTTTAACATGCTGCGATATACAAATGATACAACTTTGCTTGCTGAAACTGGAAAGGGCTTAAAATACATGCTGATGAAGATCAAAGACCACTTTGGTATGGGTTGCTCTTCAATATAAAGAAAACAAAAATACTCACCACTGGACCAAAAATAACTTTATGATAAATGGAGAAAAAAATTGAAGTTATTGAAGACTTTATTTTGGTTGGAAGTCAAGGAAACAAATGATGTCTTGCATTAGGCAAATCTTCTGTGCAAAAACGCTTTAAGGTGTTCAAGAACAAAGATGTCAGTTTGAACTAACATGTGCCTAATGCAAGCCATGATATTTTCAACAACCACATATGCATGTGAACGTTGGACGATGAATAAGGAAGTTCATAGAAGAATTGATGCATTTGAGTTACGGTGTTAGAGAAGAGTATTAAAAGTACCATGTACTTTTAGAAGAACAAACAAATCTGCAATACAATCAGAATGCTCCATAGAAATTAGAATGGAGAGACTTAGTCTTTCATACTTTGAACATATTGTAAGAAGGAACCAGTCCCTGGAGAAGGACATTATGCTAGGTAAAGTGGAGCATCAGCAAAAAAGAGGAAGACCTCCAATGAAATGAATTGGCACAGTGGCAGCAACAGGCTCAAGCTTAACAACAATTGTGAGGATGGTGCAGGACTGGGCAGTGTTCCATTCAGTTATACATAAGGTCGCTATTAGTCAGAATTGACTCGACAACACACCAATCAAGCATGAGGTTGCACACTGGACAACCAACCATAAAGTTGGTGATTCAAACCCACCAGCTGCACCTTGGAAACGCTAAACAGTGTTGCTATGACTTGGAACTGACTCAATGGCACTTAGCAACAACAACAACCAAGGATGATATCTTTTTCTGGTGACTGTTCTCCCCGATAGCATGTCCAAAGAACATAAGAAAAAGTCTTTCCATCTTTGCTTCCAAGGATAACTCTGGATACACTTCCAGGGTAGATTTGTATGTTCTGCTGGCAGTCCATGGTGGTGGCGGTTGTGTGCCACTGAGTCAGTTCAAACCTCACAACTCTGTATAGGGTTTCCGAGGCTATACATCTTTTTATTCAGGTGAGTTTGAAGCTAGATGCATTTAAAAAAATGTTTAATTGTGAATTATGTGATAGTTTACATGGGAGAACATTAGCTTTACTTTCATCCTATCATATATCCTTTCACTGCCATGATTACAATCCCCTCCATGTATCATCAACCAACCAAAGGGTATACCCTGAAAGCCTGCCCCCTGGTCATCAGCACACAGCCCTTCTTCCTCTCTGGGTCTTGAGTCCCCAGCTGCTCCATTGCTCCACATCATTATCTCTGCCTCCATCTCAGGCGTCACTGCTTCTCTGGGTAGGGTCCCTTTCTCATCTCTTCTCTCTTGATGGTCCCAGGGCCCTCCACTCCTGGACTGCAAAGTCAATCACTCCCCTCCTTACTACAAAATGTCAACCTTCACATTTCCAACACTCACAGTCAGTCCTGATAGCAATTATTCACTATTGTACCACATGAGTGCTATTCCCATCTCCTTTCATCAGCCCCGCCCAGACAGATTGGATACTACTCAGTGGACATTCTACCTTGCTCCATGCCCTCTGGATCTAAGCTCCCTCTTGAAAGCTTTTAAGCCAGTCACTTCTTGCCTTTGTAGCCCCCCCATTTTGGGTAACCAATATCCAAGTTGCCCATCCATGTCTACTCTGTGTATTGAGGGGGTGGGAATGATTCTTGCTGTAAAGATTTGTTCCCTCTTTTGAGCTACTGCATCCATAGGTGTAGGTCAAGTTCATCAAATTGTATCAGATTATTCTTTTTTCCCTCTTCTTTCTTCTTCTAGTTGAGTTCTGATCATCCAGTCATTGAAGCCAGGTCAACTGGGTATCATCTGCACATATGGGTGTTATTATGCATATGCCCTCTCTTCTTATCAGTTGGACACTTCATTCTTCATTGTAGTCCTCTATGGCTATGTCACTGACTCTGGGCCCAAGAGTTCCCAGGTCTTGCCAAGGCTGTAAATCTTTAAGGGGGAAGAAAATATCATCTTTTTCCCACGGAGTGACTGGTGGAGTCCAGCTGCTGACCTTGAGGTTAGGGACCCAGTTCATGATCCATTACGCTACCTAGGCTCCTAGCATCTCCACTGAAGCTGTGGGTAAACTGGCTGGTATTGACACCAGTGGCATAGCTTCCAGCAACATGTAAGCCACCACAGTATGACAAAGTGGCAGACAGGTGGGAGTAGATGGGGAAATTCACAGGTGAGAATATTGAAGCAATTATTTTGACTGCACTTCATATACTCAAGAAGCTGAGGAACAAGTGAAGATTTTACATGGAGACATGGGATATATTGAAAAGACCCAAATTGAATTTTTAGAGACAGAGAGGAAAAAGAAACAACAAACCACAATTTCTGGGAAAAAAACATACACTAAATGAAATTAACAACATATTAGGCACCACAGAAGAAAAGGTTAGTGCACTTAAATAGCTGACAATGTAAACTAGCTTACGTGAGTCACAGGGGGAAAGAGATTGAAAATTGAAAATGAGTTATAGGACAGCTTCAAAACACCCACGATGTGTTAATGGATGTTTCTGAAAGGAGAGGGCAAAGGACAGACTAAACCTCACAGATGGAAAAAATTAATTTGCTGAAAACAATAGACCTAAAGTATCTAAAACTCCAAAAGGCCCCGAACACGAGACACATGTAGATAAATAAATGAAGTTACATTCAAAATAAAACACTTAAAAGCATGAATAAATTAAAAATATCAAAAGCAGACAGAGTGAAAGAGATACATTCTATACAGAAGAAGAAAGCGAGAGATGATAGCAGATTTATTGTCACAAACAATGCAAACCAGAAGACACTGGGCAACAACTTTAAAGTACTACTAGAAAAACAAAATCACTGTGAACATAAGACTCTTTACCTAGAAAAATGTGCTTCAAAAGCAAAAGTGAAATAAATGCTTCCTTGGGTAAACAAATCTGGAAGAATTCATTATCAGCAAGCTTGTACTGTGTGAAATATTAAAGGAAATCTTTCAAATAGAAGGATTACCAGGTAGAAATTTCCGAACTAAATCTAAATCTAGTTTTATTACATAGGTAAATAGAAATCACATTAGTATCATTGTCGCTGATTGTCCAGTCAGTCCTGTATAGGATTTCTGAGGAGTAGCTGGCAGTTTGAAAGTACTGACCTTGGTAGCGTAGTATTTAGCAGTTAGTAGCCCAGTGCTTACCCTCCAGCACCACACCAGGAGTCCTTAGTACTATGAGCTTTATTTAAAATGGAATGGACTATTTTATGAAAAGGTATCAGCACTGTGCTTTGAAGTACTTGGCACCTGTATGTGGTAACAAAGGCCCAGAAGCTGGGAGAAGTGAACTAGAGGGCAGAGCTGCAAGCGTCCTGACTAGACTCTGTAGGAAAACGCCACTTGTGAATGGGGCTTGTGCGTGGGTAAGCTAATATTGATTGTACATGGAGCAGGACAATGTGACTTGTAAATAAGGCACAATACTGGAGAAAGATTAAGTTTGATAAAGTGGTGGGTCAGAGATGGATTAGCATAGTGACAGCAACAGTGGGCTGAAACAGCAAAGATAGATCAGGAGGTTGACACAGAATCATGGAGTGTTTGAATCATGGAGTGTTTCCTTCTGTTGTGTATAGGGTTGCTAAGAGCTCATACAGACTCTATGGCACCTAACAACTGTCGCTGTGGTGTCCTGGTATGGTGCTGTAGGGGAATCACTGGACTATAGCCACAAGGTCGATGGTAGCTGTGAGTCAGAACCAACTTGAGGGCACTCAACAACAACAACAATGTTGTTTGTACACATGATAAAATAATGTTGCTTGTGCAGGGGGTAGGATAATATCACTTGTACATGGAGCAGGAAAGCATCACTTGTATATAAAGTGGGACAACATCCTTTTACATGGTGTGGGATAATACCGCTTACATGGTGTTGTTAAATGCTGTCGAGTCGGTTCTGACTCGTAGTGACCCTGTATAGGGTTTCCAAGGAATGACTGGTGGTTTTGAACTGCCGACCTTGTGGTTCGCAGTCCAGTGCTGATCCTATAGTGCCACACCGAGTCCATAGAGCAGGATAATGTCATTGTAAATTAGATAGTACAGTGCTGCTTGTACATGAGGTAGGAAAATGTCATTGTACATAGAGAAGGATAATGTTGTTTGAAAATAGGGAAGGAGACGTTTTTTGCACATGGAGTAGTGTAATGTTGCTTGTACATGAGGTAAGAGAATGTCACTGCACATGGTGGGGGTGGCGTGCCACAGAGTTGCATAGAGCAGAATAATGGCATTTGAAAACAGGGTAGGAGAATGTTGCTTGTACATGGGGTAGGATAACGACATTCTCCTACGTCATATATAAGCACTATGACTATATACCCCAAGTGACTAAGGTATGCCTGACCCAAACCTTGGTCTTTTCGATGGCCTCATATGCATGTGAAAGCTAGGCAGTAAGAAAAGAAGATAGAAGAGGAATCAGTGCATTTGAATTGTGTTGGCAAAGAATATTGAAAATATCATGGACTGCTAAAAGAATGAACAAGTCAGTCTTAGAAGAAATATTACCAATGCGCTCTTTAAAAATGAGCATGATGAAACTTTGGTTCAGTTTCTTTGGACACATCATCAGGAAAGACCAACAATTAGAAAGCAACATCATGTCTGGTAAATCAGAGGGTCAGAAAAAGTCAGGCAAATCCTCAATGAGAAATATTGGCACAGTGGCCAAAACACCGGACTCAAACCTATCAATGATCATGAGACTGACAGGACCAGGCAAGGTGTATTCTGTTATACGTCAGGCCTCAATGCGTTAGATCCAACTTCATGCACCTAGCAACAACATCATGCCCTCAGAGCTGTTTTACTGTTTGCCTTGTTTTCTCTTTAACCATTTTGGAATATACTGCAGGACCAACATGCCAACCCCTGAGCAGACTTACCTACAAAGAGCTGGCTGTTGAGCTGCAGTAGCAGATGCCCATCAGCTGGGGCAGACTGAGCCACTGGAGGGCGGAAGTCCACCTGTAACCACGCCTCCTTGGTGTTCCTCTCGGCCTGGACGAGGTGCCACTGGTTGTCATTGAGAGGTCTGGATGCCTTCAATATAACCTCACAGGGTCCATTCCCCACATCAAATGAGAAGGCCACCTCTGTGGGTGCTGCAACACCAGACATGGACGTTATCTCCATAGAGGGGACTTGACCTTGACATGCATGGAAGGAGCACCCTCAGCAAAGACTCTAAAGAGGGCACGCTGCTCTCTACAGGGCTTCGGATAGTAAGGCCATCCTATTAGGTTAATATAGAGTATATTATGGGATAGTAAGGCCATCCCGTCAGGTTAATATAGCGTATATTAATGGGATAGTAAGGCCATCCTGTCAGGTTAATATAGGGTATATTATGGGATAGTAAGGCCATCCTGTCAGGTTACTATAGTGTATATTAATGGGATAGTAAGGCTACCATGTCAAGCTAACCCTAACTCATGGTGGTCCTTGTGTGTCAGGATGGAACTGGACAATTTTTCAGACATAGATCACCAGGCCTTTCATCTCAAGTGCTCCTGGTGGACTTGGACCTTCAACCTTTCAGTTAGCAGCTGAGCATGTTAATGTTTGCACCACCAAGGGATTCCTAAAGTTAACTTGGATTAGAGAAAAACACTGATTTTAAAAATGCAGACTCGGCATTTACATTTTCTATTGTGAAGAGCTGAACTTAAATAGAATTCCCCACCACAACTGAAACAGAAACTATCAGGCTTTCTATGTAGAATTTAGTCCAGAACTTCTCACAGTTTTGTAAACACAGTGTGATGCCCGGGACACACATGAAAAGCATGTGGAATTCAGTGAAAGCTTTGTTGCTTTGAAGCTGTGTCTTCACCAAATCAAGTTTTCCTAATTGGTCCTGTTGAGGACAGGGACGTTCCAAAGGACGTTGAGTGTATTATCAAGTACACATGCTTTGTCTTCTTTTAAATCTAATCAATGGAATTCATGGGATTTCAGGTCCAGAAGTGAGCTACACTGAATGCTGCCCCCACTGAATGATACCCACTGAAGGCCACAGACTATGCAGACATGACACCCCCTCAAGTTTACCCAGTGATTCCTGTACAATGGGAACCCTCAGACTTTCTGGGCACTCACAGCGTAGCTCCAGGCTGATGAAGTCGGTGATGCCCAGGTTCTCCAAAAACACCCCTGAGGAAGCCGTCGTCTTGAAAAAGAAAGATATGTCAGCACTTAGTTCTCCGTGGAAAGTTGGGAAGTGAAGGTAGGAGGTCTCCGTGTGGAAGGACGCAGAGTTCCAGAATGATCCTTATTGGGGGAAAAGAAGGAAGGAAAAGTCAGAAAACAAGTTTAGGGCACACTTAGTTTTATTGTTAAATGTTGTCTTGGCCTAAGAAATCCACTTTTTCTTTCTTTCAACGTGCTGCTGACCTGAACACATCTTACACAGATATCTGAATGGAGAGCTTGTGATTTTATAAGACTTTGGAAGCCTGGTGAAGCTATGACTGAGTGCCTGTCTGCTAAGTGAAGAGTTGGGGGTTTGAACCAACCAGCAGCTCCACAGGAGTAAAGATTGGATGATGTGTTCTCATAAAGATTCAACCAAGGGACCTGTGCAGGGAAAATCTAGTCTGTTACATGCAGTTGCTATGATGGATTCTGCAGCAACAAGAAGAAGGTGTTTTCAATCTGAACACTAAATCCACTTTGATGATGCTTTACTGTACTTTGATGATCAAAACATAATTTTTCAACATTTGAAATTATAAGTACCTACATAACTTTGTGTTAAAGGAGAGAGAAAACAACATACAGAAATACAAAGAGTTATCCCTCCTAATGTGTGGAACCCAGACACATCCAAAGCCCCTCTCAGTGATGCTCCCTCCATGTCCTGGAGCTCTCTGCCTTCAGTATTGGTGCGGATTCTTGAGATACTGTGTCTTCAGGTGTAAGACGGATTAGAAGACGAGTATTTAAAGCTGCAAACATGTCCTCAGGATCACACCCTTCTCATCTCAACTTATTCCCACTTCTCCTTACAAAAGGGGCTTGGATAGATACAGCATCCACCACACAGGTTTCCTATGGTACAACTTAAAATCACTCAGAAGCAATGCAGAATAAATGCTCAAAATATTTTAAACTGTTCAAATGGGCAAGAGGTACCTTCCCAAAATCAGAATAGGGACTGAGAAGAAAGTTGAAAGCACGTTGTGACCTTGGAGCACGAGGTGACTTTGATAGGCTACTCGGGCACAGTGTCCATCTGTCCATTCCTACCACTAGCTTGAATCTCAAGGTCAGCAGTTTGAAATGAGCACTGGTTTCACAGGAGAAAGATGAGGCTTTCTGTTTCCATCAGGATTTACAGCCTTGGAAACCCTATCCAGGGTCACTATGAGTTGGGACTGACTCCATGGCATATAACCATCGTCATCAATTTTCATTTGGGGCACCCAGAGCGTCCCTGGGTGAAGACATTGAAGGCTGCTCTTCATTTAGGTGAATAATGGATGCCATCGCAGTAAGCTGTGACCCAGCAACACGGAACTAAGACCCTGAGGATGTTGACTGCATGCCAGGCAGACACAGATCTGTGGCAGGCCACCGTCGCTGATAAAGTTTGGAAGTTCTGGAAGTTATAAATGTTGCTGTTATTTTAGGAGCCATTGATACAGTTATAACTCACAGCAATCCTATGTACAAAAGAACAAAACTCTGTCCAATCCTAGGCCATCCTTACAACTGCTATGTTCGAGCCCATTATTGCTTCCACTGTACCAATTCATTTCCTTGAAGACCTTCCTCTCTTTTGCTGACCCCCCAGTTTACCAAGCATGATGTCTTCTTCCAGAGACTGGTCCCTCCTGATAATGTGTCTAAAGGACATGAGAAAGTCTCATCATCATTTCTTCTAAGCAGCAATCAGACAGTGCTTCTTCCAAGAGTTTGTTCATTCTTCTTGCAGTATATAGTTGTTGTTGTTAAGTGCCGTCGAGTCGGTTCCGACCCATAGCGACCCTGTACAGGGTTTCCGAGGGTGTAAATCTTTACGGGAGTAGAAAGCCTCATCTTTCTCCCGCGGAGCAGCTGCTAGTTTAGAACCGCTGACCTTAAGGTTCGCAGCCCGATTCGTAACCACTACGCTATCAGAGCTCCGCAGTATATAGTAATAGTCAATATTTTTCTCCAACACCATAATTCAAATGTGTCTGCTCTTCTCTTGATGTTGTTAATGGGCGGGCACCAAGTCAGTTACGACTCATAGCTACCCAGTAGAAGGGTTCTGTGTTACATTGCTTATCCTACAGCACCACACCAGTCAGTACTCCTGTTCTTCTCTAGACTTCCTTATTCACTGTCCAGCATTCACATGCATAAGAGGTGATTGAAAACACCAAGGCATGGGTCAGACACACTTGGTTCTCATTCCGACAACCTGTTCTGGACAATTACCAGTGTTTGGGAATGGCTTCACATCTAAATTACATTTTTTGAAGAATGAGTCCATACACTGAGGTCAGAAAACATTCATATCAAATTGCTCTCTCATTTGATTGTCAGGACACAGATAAGATACCTACATGTGCAGAAGTCAGCCTCGACTCTGTTTCACATGGAGCCATGAATAGGGCTTGACAGCTCCTCAGCTTGGCTGGGAAAGACTTCATGCAGCAGAAGCCTACTCTCAAATTCTCTGGGAAGAACTTTTCAAGGAGAAAACATTTAGAATGCATTTCCTGCTTTCCCCTGTTGCTGTTTTAAGGTGCCCTAAAGTCAATTCTGATGCATAGCAAACCCACGGACAACAGATGGAAACAATGCCCATCGTAGCAGTCACTGTGTGAGTCCATCTTGTTGGGCGTCTTCCTCTTTTTTACTGACCCTCAACTGTACCAAACTACCAGCTGTTCCGTAGGAGAAAGATGAGGCTTTCTGCTCCCATAACGATTTACAGCCTTGGAAACCCTGTACAGGGTTGCTATGAGTCAGAACCAACCCGACGGCACATAACAACAACAACTGTACCAAACATGATATCCTTCTCCAGGGACTGGTCCCTTCTGATAATATTCCCAAAGTACATAAGACTAAGTCTCACCATCCTTGATTCTAAGAAGTATTCTAGCTGTGCTTCTTCCAAGACAGATTTGTTTCGTTTTCTGCTAGTTCATAGTATATTCAATATACTTCACCAATGCCATAATTTAAAGGAATCAGTTCTTTTTCAATCTTCCTTATTCATTGTCCAGCTTTTGTATGAGGCAATTGATAATACCATTGGCTTGGGTCAGAGACACCCCAGTCTTCAAAGTGACATCTTTGTTTTTTAACACTTTAAGAGATCTTTTGCAGTAGACTTGCCCAATGCAATATGTCATTTCATTTTTTAACTGCTGCTTCCGTGATAGTGAATCCAAGTAAAATGAAATACTTGACAACTTTGATGTTTTCTCTGTTTACCTTGATGTTTCTTATTGACCCAGTTTTGAGGATTTTTTGTTTTCTTGGTTTTGAAGTGCAATCTACACTGAAGGTTGTGCTCTTCGATCTTCATCAATGAAGTGCTTCAAGTCTTCTTCACTTTCAGCAACCAAGATTGTGTCATTTGCATATCACAGATTGTTAATGAGTCTTCTTTCGATCCGGATGCTTCATATACTCCAACTTCTTGGATTATTAGCTCAACATACAGATATAATACCTATGGTGAAGGAATACAACACTTCCCATTTTCTTTTGATGTTTCCTGTGTCATTCAATATCTTTCCCAGTGAGTCCTTCAGTATTGCAATTCAAGTATTGCAAATGATTGCAATACCTTTCCTGTTTTAATTCATGTAGTATTCCCTTGTTCTATTCTAACAGCTGCCTCTTGGTATATGTATAGGTGTCACACAAACACAATAAAGTGCTCTGGCATCTCCATTCTTCTCAATGTCATGATAGTTTGCTATGCAATAGAATGCCTTTGCATAGCCAATAAAATATAAGTAAACATCTTTTTGTTATTCTCTGCTTTCAGTCAAGATTCATCTGGCATGAGCAATGATACCCCTTATCCCATATACTTTTGAATTTAGTTTGAATTTCTGGATGTCCCCTGTGAATGTACTGCTGCAATCAGTTTTTAGTTAGTGTCAGCAAAATTTGATATTAATGATATCATTGATAATGTTTGCATTCTTTTATATCACCTTTATTTGGAATGGAAATGGATATGGACCACTTCTAGTTGGCCAGGAAACTGTCTTCCAAGTTTCTTGGCATATATAAGAACCTCCAATACTATACATCTTTCTGTTGAAACATTTAAATGAGCAGTCCATCAATTCCTAGAGGCTTGTTGTTTGGCAATTCTTTCAGTACTTGAATTTCTAACTTCAATAACACTGGTTCTCGATCATAAGCTACCTCTTGAAATGGTTGAACATTAACTATTTCTTTTTGGTACAGTGTCTGTGTATACTTCTCATTTCCTTTTGTGTCCTGTGTCATTCAATATCTTTCCCATTGTGTCCTTCAGTATTGCAACTCAAGACTTGAGTTTCTTCTATTCTGTCAGCTTGAGGAATACCAAGTGTGTTCTTTCCTTTTGACTTTCTAAATCCAGGTCTTTGCACATTTCCTTATAATATTTGACTTTGTCTTCTTGAACTATCCTTTGAATTCTTCCCTTCCTGGAGTCCTGGTGTGGTACTTTAGGATAAGCACTCAACCACAAGGTCAGTTTGAAGCACAGGTTAAGCAGTTCAAACTCACCAGCCGTTCCTCAGAAACCCTCTACAGGGTTGCTATGAGTAGGAACCAACTCGACAGCACTCCTGGTGTAATGTTGTAGGACATGCACTGGACTATGAAATGAAAGGTGGACTGTTCAAATGCACCAACCATGCCTTGGAAACCCTACACAAGGTTGCTCTGAGTCAGAACTGACTCAACAGGACTTAACAACAACAGTGTTCGGCTCTTTTACTTTACCTTTTATTTTTTCTTTCATTTTAACTACTCTATAATCATAAGCAGAATATCTTGTGACATCCACTTTGGTCTTTTCTTTGTTTCCTGCTTTTTAAAAAGGACTTTTTGCTTTCTTCATGTATGATAGCCTTGATTTCATCCCACAAGTTACCTGGTATTTGATCATTAGTGTTCAATGTATTAAATTTAATCTTGAGATGGTCTCTAAATTCAGGTGTGGTATACTCAAAGTCCTATGCCCCTGAGGAACCTGTACATAGGCCAAAAGGCAGTCATTGGAACAGAACAAGGGGATACTGGATGATTTAAAATCAGGAAAG